CTTCTGCCACTGGTGCTCTCATAAGGTAAGGAGAGGAGAACCTCACTGGATGCCCTGGAGGAAGTCAGGGAGTGACCTGACCCCGAGTGAAGGGACCTAGGACAAGGAAAACAGTTGGGAGGAGAGTGGTCCATAGAGGCCTGGACGGCAGAGCTCCAGAGTCGACTGAGCTGCAGTGTGGGTGTAGGGGGCAAGGATCAGGCTGTGTTACTTGGGGCTTCAGAGGAATCCAAGCCAATGGCCTCCGTGGGGTCTCTGCTTAGGTTTTGTTTTTGTGACAGAGCAGAGGCCAGGAGGGTAAGGGAGGGCAGAGGGTAGGGGGACTCCTACTGTCCAGTTAACAAACTGGAATCTTTTGATTTTACTGTTCAGTGACTATAAAGTTTGTTTTTGTACATTATGAATTGATACCCTTCAAGGTGAATATGGTTAAATCTATTCAGAGACTTCCTAGGGCTTTGGATTTGCTCTTTTCAAAAAGGCATCCTTGTCACTGGATTGTGTTCTCCTAAAGCTGGGATGTGGGAAATCCCTCTGACCTACAGCAGAGCACTTTCTTCCCAGTGAGCATGGCCGGGGTGCTTCTGCCCTGGGTGCAGGTGACCCCCAGACCTGCTTCCAGGGCTTCTGTTTAGAGCTGCCACCTGCCTCCTTCAACCCCAAAGAGACACAGGGAGGACAGCACAGCATGAGACATGACTGGGAGACTCTCCTGTGGATCCTGGGGACATCCATTCACCCAGGATGGTACCCATCAAAAATCCTGGCCTCAGGGTTCCAACAGAGCTGGGTGCAAATCTAAGCTGCAGAAATGAATCTGCGGAGTGAGAAGTCAGGGCAGTGCCTACCTCTGGGGCAGGGGTAAGAAGGGAATGGGAGGGTGTGAGAGGGGTTCTGGAGTGGGAGGGGGCTGCTGGTCACTGGCAAGTCCTCTGTGATCACCCCCCAACCTGTGCAGTTAGGAGTGGTGATTTTCCTGGGTGTAGACTTTAGTAAAAGAGATTAATTTAAAAAGTGCAAGCGTACCTCTTCCTGATTGTGCTCCCTGGCCCTGATGTCTCCGCCCCCTATGACAGGGCTGTTGTGGTGTTACCACTCCCGCTGTGAGGCGAATGAGTGCTCATCAGCTTCTGATGCAGGGCCCGGCACTACCTAGCCCCTGGCAGCGGATCCTGCAGCAGCTCTGGCTACTCGGGGTACACAGTTTCCACTCTTTGCCTAGTCCACCATGTCTGCATCCCTTCACACATCGGCCCAGAGTGCAGACATGCTCTTGCTGGCTTGTACTCCCCCAGGTCCTCTCATCCCATCACCAAATCCTGTTTGGAGTGAAGACGCTTCTCCTCACCCCTGGGCTCATCCTTCTCTCCCTGTGGGTCCCAGCAGCGAATGATCCACTGATCCCCTCAGTTCGTACCTCTGTCCCCTCCATCAGACCAAGGGTACAGCACTCCATGATATGCAGCTTGGTCCCTGGCAAGCCCAGGCTCAGGGACAGTTACCCAAATGAAGAGCCAGCAGCTTCTCCATGGGACCTACAGCATGGCTTCCTGAATGGCAGGGATTTGAAATGCCTCCCCCAGAGCCGTCCCTTTGTTCCACCATTTTGAATAAAGTGGCATACTGTGTTTTCACTCCTGGGAAAATGTCATTTGAAAAATACATCCCACAACCAGTGTGAGATGCTGCATCTGGCCTGCCATCCAGGCAGAAGAGAGGCAAGGAGCAGAGGGTGCTTCGGTGGCTCTTAGTTAGTCCTTTGTCTGAAGAATAGCTGTAGATTGTCCCATTCTGCGGGTTGTCTCTTCTCCCTGTCAGTTGTTTCCTTTGCTGTTCAAAAGCTTTTTAATTTGATGTGGTCCCAGTTGTTGATTCTTTGTAATATTTTCTGTGCAACTGGGGTTTTGTTCATAAAATCTTTGTCTATAGATATGTCTTCAAGAGTTTTATCTATTCTGTCTCCAAGGAGATTAAGTGTTTCTGTTTTTATATTTAGATCTTTGATCCATTTTGATTTTAGTTTAGTGCACAGTGAGAGATAGCCGTCTAAATTCAATTTTTGACATGTGGAAAGCCAGGTTTCCCAGCACCATTTATTAAAGAGGCTATCTTTCTTTCAGTGAAGGTGTTTGGGCCCTTTGTCAAAGATAAGGTAGTTGAGTGTGTTTGGAGTTGTTTTAGCATCTTTTATTCTGTTCCTTTGATCCTCAGGTCTGGTTTGTTGCCAGTACCATGCTGTTTTATCATGGTAGCTTTGTAGTATAACTTCAAATCAGGGATTGTGATGCCCCCTGACAGAGGAAATTTTAAGGCAGCCCAACCTTCAGGCTATAGCATGGGTACTGCTGATGGTTATTTAGCCAGGTCTAAAATGAGAATCAGAAACAAAAGGCAGAGCCAAAAGATATAAAAAGTTTCCAGTTTTACCAGAAGAGAAGAACATGGGAAGTTGGGATATAAAGAAGAACATGGTTACTGAAAAGATTAGTGTTAGAAAGAAGTCAATTACTTTGCATCAGGACAACAGGGAAGATGGTTTGTAGGCCTCTCAGGAATCAGCTATCCATTCTTCATAAGCTCAGAGGTGCAAAAGTAAAAACCTTTCTTTTGAGAAGTGAGTCCCAATATGCTCTGTTCATGCAGAGCATGGAGGGAGGTATATCCCCCAATTCAGTCATTCAGAAACCCAAAGCAGCTACAGCCATGGTTCAGGGTTCAGTTCCCCCATGACTTCTCAGGCTAGAAACCGACTTTGATATCATCCACTAAGTGCTGAATTTTCAGGCATACAGAATACAGAAGTTATGGAGTCACAGAGGCTTCCACCCATATTTTAGGAGACTATCTGCGAGGCCAGGCAAAAATGTGCGACAGGGTCACAATCCCTGCCATAAGCCCATGAAAGGGCAGTACATGAGGCTATAAAAAGCCAAAGGTGCAGTGGAGACCCCAGGAAGTTGGAGATGACAGAACATCTGCTGAGGAAAAGCCACAAGCAGTGAGTGGAGCCAGCTCAAGAATGAGGCCATGTGGGCTGCAATCAGCAAGGCCATAGGAGCATGCTGCTCTTGAAGCTCATATCTCATTACAACCTAACCTACCATGGTTGCCAGACTTGGAGCTACAGGATTCAGTGTTTGCTCTGCTGGTTTGGGTCTTATTTTGGTTTGATTTCTTTCTGTCCTTCTAGCCCTCCTTCTTGGAATGGGAATGTTTACCCTATGTGTATGTTGAAGGTGTTTAACTTTCTTTTTGATTTTCAAAAGGACTCACAGCTAAGAGTTTGCCTTAAGTCTCAGAAAAGACTTCAAATGTAGACTCTTGAGCTGTGTTAGAACTGTTGACTTTGGCAACTCTTAGAGATGGACTAAATGTACTTTGATTAAAGAGCTGTGTATAAGTCTTTGGGGGGCCACAGGTGGAATGTTATGGCTTAGGTCTAAATTGTCCCCCAAAAGTCTCATGTTCAGAGGTGGGACCTGGTCAGAAGAGTTGAGTCAGTGGGCGTGTGACCTGGAAAGGTGCTTTCTTGCCCCCAGCTCCTCCTTTCTGTCTCTGGTTCCTGGGTGCCATTAGGTGAGCAATTTTCTTTTGGCAGGCCCTTTCATCACAGTGTTTCTGCCTTGGAGCCAGCTGACCATGGGCTGAGCCCACTAAAAACTGTGAGCCAAAAAAAAATCTCTCCTTTAAGTTGTGGCTATCTGGTATTGTGTCCCACAATGGGAAAGCTGACCAATGCACTCCTCATTCTTCAGGTGAGTAGACGGAGGCTTTGAGATGATGCATTCTGTGTAAGGCCACAGCAATCAAGTGTCAGAGCTGAGAGTCACACCCGAATCTCTTAGCTCCAAAGCCAGATCTTTCCATTTTGTCATGTGAGTGTATGGTTGTCACACAGGCAGAGAGGGGAGTCAGTAGAGGGGATGATCAGGAACCAGCTCTGGAGCTGGGAGGAAGAGGTGTAATAACTAGGGGAGCTAGGTCAGACATACAGAAATCCAGGACAGTGTGGGGGAAGTGTGAGGTGGGGCTGGGGTTAGGAAAGGTGAGGCAGCAGGAAGAACAGAGAGGACCATTTCTAGACTGGGGAGCAGGGGATGAGGAGGAGCCCAACAGCTGGAGCCCTTGCCTAGTTGGGAGCCCCTGCTGAAGCTAAGCTGCTGTGCCAGAAAAGATGCAGGCAGGGGTCCCTAAAAGCCAGGAGCCCTCCCTGCTGCAATGGAAAAGAACCAAGAAGCAGCCTTAGCGGGAGGCTTGAGTGAGGAATAGAAAAAGAGCACCTGGGGAACTAAAAACTTTTCTGGGTCTTTTCAAGAGAGGCCTTATTTCTCTCCCAAACACAGCTCCCTCTCTCCAGGGGCCATTAATGGCTGTTCAAATGCAAATGGAACCCAGGAGGGCTGACTTTTCAAGCTGCTACCGGCTGCTAGGCTGAGACTGTTTTAGTTGGCCAGCGAAGCTGGCCCCAGACAGAGCTCAGAGAAGCAGGGCACTGAGTGCCAACAGTCCCAGGTCACAGTAGGTGGGGTTGGCCTTCTGAGCTCTTAGGTGGAGTTACTACCTGGGGCCACACTGTGATTCCTCCCAGGCTCACCTTGGCTGCATTCATCCCTGCCACTGGATACTTCAGCTTCAATGCACAGATGAGGGCTTTGGGGGTAAGAAGGAGAGTGAGGGCTTTAGAAGCCTTGGACTCCAGGCTTCTGTCTCTAGGTTTTTGTCTCAGAACCAAGACCAAGATCATGACCAAGACCAAGACCAAGACCAAGACCAAGACCAAGACCAAGACCATAGCCCATACCCAAACCAACCAATCAATGTTCCTAAATAATCTCTCATTTGTGAAAATTGGCCTAAATAATGTCTACCCTTTGGGGTGAGTGTGACTGTAGCAGCTGTCACAGTGGGGGGAAATGTTCTTATCCTTCTGTGACTTACCCCTTCCTCACATTTTTTTCATGGTGCTGCAACTTTCCACATTCATTCTTCTCTTGGATTAGAAAATCGTTCCCCGAAGAACAACAGGCGAACCTGAAGAGATGGATTTACTGGCTCAGAGTTTTGGAAGAGGAGCAACAGCTGCAGGTCAGTATCTGCTGACCCCAGCCCTGGAAGTGTTGGTCACACTTGTCTAGACAAGGACAGCAGGGGGCAGTGTTGGAGAGAAGGGGACAGGCTGGGTAAGTCCTTACAAGCTCCAGAACAGTGGACGTTACCTTGGGAAAAGGCAGAGGGGATGGGAAGGCCTGTGAGACTTGGGGAGCTCTGCAAAAGGCATTGTGGCAAAGGAAGAAGGAAAAGGGAATGGCTGGCTCCCAGCTGCCAGCCACTGACAGGAACCAAGATGGTGGGGCATGGAAGGATGTTGTCCCTCCTGTGTTGTCCAGCAGGAGCTCCTAGCTATTGTCTAGATGAAGTTTTCATCCACAAAGAATTCTTGGCCGGGATGGTCCTCAGGTAGGGTCTGGTGGTTGGCTGCAGAGCCAATTGCCTAGTATCCATGTCTAGAGAGTGGCTTGTCCCCTGTGCCCAGCACAGGGCCTGTGCTACATCTCCCACCTGCAGGAGGTACAGTCCATTGTGGGTCACCAGTCCCTAGTTCCTGGCCCAACAGGACTGGCTTCTGACCCAGCCAGCCTCACCTCTGCCTCAGCCTGTCATTCTGAGGAACTCTGTCTTCTGCAATGTACAACTCAGGGTAATAAATAGTCATAATGAAACTTAATATTTAAGCCCAGGGAGCTGCTGCCTTATACCACATTGAGCTAAAAATAATTCAACCTGGAGAAGGCCTCTCTGGGATCCATTTCCTCACATCAGCTGCCTGGGCTACTGGAGCTTTGCTTTGTCCTTGGATTGGAGGTTGCATTGGTCAGGTCTCTTAGGGAGAGGTGCTCCCATTCATTTCCCTTAGTAAATTCAATTTTAAAATGTTGAAGGCCTTCAGGAGCAATCAGGCAGCCTGTTTTGTTCGCCATTTTGGCCCTGGTGGTGGCACACAGTAGGTCAGTAGCATCTTTTGCCACATGCACGAGTCCTGGAAATAACCTGAGAAGTACTTACTTATTCTCCTCCACAGATTGTAATCCAAGGCTTTGAGAGGCCGAGTAACTTGTACAAGGTCCCCCAGGGGAGTGGGCTGTCTCGGAGGGAGCATATGTCCCCTGGTTCCCAGAACATCTTGATTAATTGGGACAGTTTTTCTGTGCTGTTTCGTGTGAGAACAGAGGGGTTGGGGTGGTGCAGTCACACTGTGTGCCGTCTCATGGGCCTGTTAGGCAGAGTCTCGGACGTCAGCAGGTCTGAAGACAGGGGGCTGCTTGGAAAGCAAAGAGGCTGTGATGATTTTTCCTTTTCCCTTTGATTTCTTATTTTAGTTATAGACAAAGTCTACACAAGTGTGGGGTTTCAAACTCTAACTCAAAAGACAGTAACCTCCTCTGACAGTGCTAATAAGGTTCGGGGGTGAACAGCTCCCACACCGTGAGTGAGGGGTTGGAAAAACTTCAAGGTCTCACAACAAACGAAAAGAGATGCAGCTACCTAGGGAGTCAAAGAGGACCTGTCTGTCAGCAGTGCCCATTTTCCTTGTACAGGAACAATGACCTTGGAGGAAGGAAAGGACATTCTTGAAAGACCCAGTTAATCATAGAAATATAACCTGAGACCTCATTCCCAGCCACTGCCCTCTTGCTGCTTGCCCACCTCATGCTTGAAGGTGTCCCCCCTCTCTCTCTGCCTCTCTCTCTCAAAATCTATCATTTTGCAGCAAATTTTACATATATTCTGTGCAACAGCCTGTGTGTCCTGTCTAAAATCTTTCATAAGCGACACAAAGAATCAAAATGCATCACCAGTTCCTCCCTGACTTAGAACCTGGTGGTGTTAGAACCCAGCTTCTTGGTAAGAGGCACAGTAAGATGGCATTCTAGACAGACAGCCGTTTTTCTTTACTTGTTGGCTGTATACCCCTGTACATAGGTCTTACATTTAATGGGCTTCTTGTTGCGTACGAAAGATGGACAGGCAGTACGGTTGGGGGTAGACTATCTTTCCAGTACTTTGTTTTTATTCAAGGCAAAGACTTTTAGTTGCTTTTAAAAGTGGCTGCACCTATGCAAGGTGTGAGGCCAAGTGTGTGAGGAACAGAATTCAAGTTGGAGTTGGTTCCCCTCCATTTCTCCTTCATCTCTAGATCTGAAGCATCACAGGGCAGCCATGTCTTTTCTACCTTGGGATCCACAAGATCTGTGTTGGGTGTTTTTTTCTGTTTTGTTTTCCTGGGGATTAAATCCAGGGTCTTTGCACTGAGCAACATCCTTTGCCCTTTGTTTTCTTTTAAGTTTTGAGACAGGTCTCACAAAGTCACTAATTTGCACACCCTGTGCTCAAACATGCAACCCTCCAACCTCGCCTCCCAGAGTGCGGGAATTACAGGCATGGACCACCATGCCTGACAGTGTGTTGGGCATTTTTGAATGAGGAGTTGTGGGCTCCTGTGGGGGGCAGTGGAGGCAGCCAGGTGCTCTGGAATGGCAAGGATCTTTAGTGTCACCAGGACCAGTTCTCAGGGTGCATCCTGGACCCAGCACCATCAGCATTGCTGGAGAATTCTCCATGGAGTGCAGGGGCCCCAGGCTTGTTGAACCAGGAGCTTGGTGCTGTGGTGCTCTATCAAGTTCCCAGGTTTCTGCTGCACCTTTGGGTTTCAAACTCCAGATCTGGATCAAGGTTCCTCAGCCTCCGTCTCCTGAGGTTTGGAGCTGATCACTCTTTGTTGTGGCCATACTGTTCATTGCAGGATGCTGAGCAGCATCCCCATCTAATCCCCACATCAGATGCCAGAGGCATTGGCCTCCCAGTGGTGACAACCAGACCTTGCTCCCGACATTGTCAGATGTCTCTCTGTGGGACAAAATCATCCCTGTTTGAGAACCATCAATTAAAATTCTTGCTTCCAGAACACAGTCAATGATCCAGTAGCGTCAGCTGCACAGGACTTTGTCAGAAGAGTCTGGGCACCATCCAGAATCTACTGCCCTTGACAAGGTCCTCAGGTGATCCGAATGGAGTTGAAATTGACAAACATGGTGTCAACCAACCTGTTCAGCTTCCACATGCAGAGATAGCAGTTGAGGGGCAGGACCTGCCTGGGTTATGTCTCCAGAGCACTGTACATGTCAGTTTTAGTGTTTGTTGACTGAATGTATGTGTTTTCCTGAAATTAGAACAGCTCTTTTCCTTGGCTTCTTAGTCTCAGAATCTTGAGTGCCTTTCAGTTAAGAGGCTAGGACAGCAGTCCCTTAATTTTGATGTGTTTGTTGTTCTCTTGATTAGAAGTGAGGAATGCACCAGGCATGGTGGCACAGGCCTGTAGTCTTAGCACTTGGGAGGCTGAGGCTGGAAGATTGTGAGTTCTAGGCCAGCCTGAGCTACAGAGCAAGACCCTGTCTCAAAAGGGGTGGAGGTAAATGGGTTCATGAAAGGAAGACCCCCGGATGTAAAGTGTCAATCTCATCAAATTATAGAGTAGTCTTTATATTTTTATCCCGGTAAGTCATTGTATTTTTTGGAAACAAAATACTTAGGTACCCTGCCACCAGCTAACCTGCAGCAGAGCAAATTTGCTTTGTTGAATGCAAAGTAAATCTTGTACAGTAAAGTGCTTTTGAACTGTTCCAGTATCTCCTTTGCACAGTCTCCCATGGCCGATAAAAACCAGCCAGGCAATATTAGAGCTGAGATTTGATGCAAAGTCTCACCTTTTCTTTATTAATAGGGAGCGATAGGCACAGCCCTTCTCTAACAGGCAGCCAACTGCTCAGCAAGTTTCCTTTTACAGTTCCCATTTCTGATCATTGCACAACCCTAATTAGTCAGGTTGACAGCCAGCTCCTGGGGAACAAAGACTGCAGCCACAGGCTCCAGGATAAAGGCAGGAAGAAGGATGTGAGGCCGGAAAGAAGGAAAGCTCTGCGGGTCCATCCTGACCAGGGCTCTCTGGGCACCTGGTCAGAATCTCATCCTTGGGTGTAGCATTAACTGCCTGGGCTTCTCTCCATTAGAACATATTTTGCCATTGTGCTGATTTCCAAGTCTCCCAACAGCTACTTAACAATCCTCTCTCACTCACTCCCTGTGAGACAGATGCATATCTGCACACACACACGCAGACACATATTTCTATTAGCCTGCCAGATGTTTCAAAATTTATTTTGTTTGAAGAAATGCCACTGAGTCAATAAAACTCAGTGTTGAAGCACCAATGTATAAACCAGTGTCTTGGTTTTCTATTGCTCCAGTAACAAATCACCACATGCTTGCTAACTTAAAACCATGCCAATTCATTATCTTATTGCTTGGAGGTCAGAAGTCAGAAATAGGTTTGATGGGCTAAAATCAAGGCATTGGCAGGGCTGCGTTCCTTCTGCAGGACCCAGGGAGAATCAATTTCCTTGTCTTCCCCAGCTTCTGGCTGGCTCCTGACCCCTTGCTCCATCTTTAGATGTACAATCCTGGCCTCTGCTTCCATCAGCTCATCTCTCTGACACTGATGCTCCTACCTCCTTTCCGATAAGGATCCTGTGATTGTATCAGCCCCCACCTTGAAGCCAGCATACTCTCCCATCTAAGATCTTCAATACATCAGCACCATCCCTTTGTAACATATTCTAACATATTCACTGATTCCAAGCTTTAGGCTGTGGACCTTTGGGGGAGATGCAGGAGCATTATTTAGCCTATTGCACTCACTTTATTTTTATTTACTTTTTAATACTTTTTTTAGTATCTGTCTGCGATACATAATGAATCCATTCTTTGCGAGGTGTTGGTACATATGTATGGCACATCTCAGTCCTGTTCACTTTCCCAGCCACTTCCCTCCTCCCTTCTCCTTCCCTGTTTCCCTCCGTCTCCAGGTCCCCTTCCGTCTGTGAAAGTTCTCTTTCCTGTTTCCTATCATTGCTCTTCAGTTTTGTTCTTTACTTACACTTTGGGTTTCTCATATGAGAGAAACCACAAGCCATGTAACCTGTGTCTGATTTATTTCCTTTAGCATCATGGTCTCAAGAGGCATCCATTCT